TTTACCACCTGTTTGGAATGCATAAATAAGATCAACAATGAACGGACACTATAAAGAAAACTATTAATGTAATTCCTCCGAGACTAAAATGTGAAACAAGATATAGTTGCTATTATTAATCATACAGAGATTGTTTTATACTACCTCTTTTGACATACATTTCTTCAGTATCCTTTTACTTAAGCACTCAGAAATACAATAAGGAAGTAGATCATATGTTATTACGAGACATTATTGATTTATGGTCTTCGATCGTAAATTAACAATGTGTATCACAATCTATAAGAGTTTTGTTCAGATTTCGAAAAAAGCAAATTACCAACATATTCAGAAGCTCAGTAATCATATAGTCATGGAAATCAAAAGTTTTAGAAACTCTAGCCATGTGGAAAATTTCGTCAAATATAGAATTATGGAAAATACATAACTTTGGGATATGCTGAACAAGTTGCAAAATAAACAGGTGAAATTTTCGAAACTTCCAATTTTGAAAGCCCGAATACTGTCGGTCTATATGGTCTTTTCTTAGTGTTTGTCAGGGTCTGATGAAGATCGAAATTTTGAGTTATTGAAAAAAATCGCAAAATTCCAAAATTTTGAAAAAAGTAAAACATCAAAATACGAAGTTTCGAATAAAACAAGATTTCGAATAGTTAAAATTTCGAAAGATGTCCTCTCGTTCGTTAGTTTCATGTGAATCATTTATTTGATTGTTTGAAAAGAAAAATTGTTGTCTGTAAACAAATGATGACGATTGAACAGAAGAAACAAAAATAAAATCTTGTTGCAGTTCAACATTGAATTTGTTTACTTCATTTTTCTATTTTATCAAAATAAAATAAAACTTAGCAATCTCCTAGAGAGACTTTTTCTTATAATTAGGATAAGTGAATGAGCTATTGTATTTGACCGTTTTACAATTTTTCAACTTCGTTACTATAGATTTTTTTAAATAGAATATCAATTACAAACATGTATTATTCGATTATCAAATTGATATCAAATGTTGCAAACAGTTCGAGATGCTTTTCCTTTTTTTTTTGATCATGTTTCATAAAAATAACATATTGACAATGATATCAAGAAAAAAACTAAATTATTTACTTTAACACATTCAAGAATATTTCTTTCAGCTTTTGTGTGAGCAGTATCTTTTGCATTGCGAACAATTCTTTAAAAAAAAATGAACAAGAAATCTAATATATAAAATAAATAATTCAGCATACGTGGCTTTTTTTAGGACTTTCATAGCAAATATTTCACCTTGATGACTTCCAGACACTTTTCTTACTTGAAAAACCTTAATAGAAAAAAAAGAAACGATATTGAATATCTCATTAAAAATTTTCTTTCTTACTTTCCCATAACCACCTTTACCTAATACTTTCAATAATTGAAAATCATGTGGTGAAATTCGTTCACCTTGTGGATTAACAGTATTTTCTGTTATCTGTACTGTTTCAACTTCACTAAAAATATTTTATAATGTTTATGAATCATGTTTTATTCTTTAGTGGTTTTTTTGTTTTTACCTGGTTTGAGATGAATCAGCACCTGTATCATTAACAACAAATCGATTGTCATCATCATTATCGATTATTATTGTATTATTATCATTATTTAATGTTTGTTGAGTATCACTTAATGGATATCGATGTTCACCCATTTCAATAGGGAATAATGGTTCATCGTCATGATGAATCGACATAGTTAAATGAAATTATTTTCGTCAAAAATAACAATTAGAAGTTTGTTTTGTATTGTACGTGTTTTCTCTCAGTGCATATTTAAGATTGTTTATCTGGAATTTTAAAGGCATCTTTTGAATAATGATGAAGACGAAAAATAGAACATATTCAAGCACCTAGGTATTATTTAAGATATAAATGTGAAAAATAAGAAAAGCGAAAAAAAAGAAAGACGAGAGGTATGAAGTACAGGGTACATAAGCAACGAATGGAATGGAACAGATAATGAGACAACGTTCGATTGACTGATTCATTATCGAATAAGAATGGACATGTCAAGTTTTATTTAAGTTATATATGCATTAGAAATAAATAAATGTGTTGTCATGACAATTTATTTCGAAGTACAATTATAATGGATGAATGAAAATTTGATTGTTCGAAACACTAGATTTAGTCTTGAATTTTTGTAGTTAGATTATAATAATGTAAGTAGAGAATTTTTAGATAATAGTTATTTATATGAGTAATTTCTTTCTTACAAACATCAATTGAATATTAAGGCTTTATTTTCAGCGAAAATTATTTTTCTGCATGTTAATATCAGATGTTGTTTTGATAAAAATTTCTTTTTGAAAAATAAATATTCTTTTATTTGATTAAAATCCACTTTGATAACCCAGGTGATTCGATCCGACTGTCGGATTACGTCGGATTATATCGGAAAAATTACCGGATTTTAACGGATCCGACGGGAACTCGTCGGAAGTTGTCGGCGTGCTAGCCACAGGATTCCGACAGGAGGTTCCGGATGTCGGAATAATCAGGATCCTGCAAAATCCCTGAAACTCCGACACTTTCCGACATCCAGAACCACTTGTCGGAATCCTGTGGTTAGGATTCCGACAAATTCCGGCGAATTTCTATCGGATTCGACAGGGTGAATTCGACCTGGGAAGTGCTGAAGACTTCACAGTGTAGAGCATTAATAAAAAATAAATATACATGCAAGTGATATAGCCTTATAAACAATGGTGATCCTTGCTTAGTAAAACAAGAAGGAACGATAAGTCATGTGTGATATTGACATGTAAAAAAAAAATCGATAATTTAGAAATACCTACTAATAGAAAATCATTGAAATTTACAAAATGAGATTACCTAGTACTTTTTTAATGAGAATTTTTGAAGTTTGATGAACGTAAATTTATTTGTTTCGTGTTGAGAGTATTAAAGATTTATATGATTATTAAACTAACTTACGGTACAATAGTTCGGCCTTAATTTTGTTCTTCATATAGCGTGACAACGACTTGACGTAGAGACTCAATAGTTTTTTCACTCAAAAGAGTAAAGTCGCTGATACAAAGCTGCATAAGAATATTTGATTTAAAATACTTATCGAAGGTTGAAAGATTTTAAGAACATGTTTGACTAAAGAAATTTTCAAGAAAACTTCTCTTCACTAAGAAAGTTAGCCTTATTATCCATTTTCTATCGAATTTTGTAAGGCAATGATAGAACATGGGAAACTTGTAAAAATAAAATTTTCAACTTATTGGTTGAATTTGATATCAACATTTTTACAATGAATTTGTCTGGCAAACAGGTGTTTACACCTTATAAATGATTCCAAAAAATAAGATTTTTTTTTAGCAATCCAAATAAGGAAAATTCAAGGAAGAAGTAGTAGAGACTTCAGTCTTGAAGTCTCATAATGTTTGTCGAAGTTCTGTTAATTCTTATGAAATTTACAGAAGTCATTGAATGATAACAATTAATATATGTCAAAGTGTGTTGTTTCTCCCTGGGCGAAACCTCATATCTTATGGCAAATTACAGTTTAGTAAGACATCTACAAAAGTATGTTATACAAAACAGAATCTTTAACATTATGGGAAAACCTTCACTGTACGTTGTAAATGAAGGATCAAATTTTTTTCAAAACTGTATCTTATGGGACCTGTTGGCCTTGTGATTCGAATACTTTAATATCACTAGAAAGCCTGCGTCTCATAGGTTACATTTATATATAATGTGTTTAAAAATGTTGAAAACCGTGCGCAAGATAAATCGATCAAATACACTTCTTATTATCGATTTTATGTAAAGCTTCAAAGCACTTTTTACATTAAGCATGTTTGAAAAACGTTTCAGTCTTCGATAAGTTTTCTCAACGAGATATTTTTACTCTGTAGCAGTAGTAGCTTTACTCTTTCGAACAAGAAAACTATCGAGTCTCTATAAGAAGTTGTTTTCATACTAAATTAAAAATACAACTAATGTCGAACTTTTGTAATGAGCATTGAAAAAGTTATATTTAAGTCTTTCTTTCCATAAATAAATTTTATAAAGAATCTGACGTTAAACTTATTTAAATAAAAGAAAAAGAAATGCTTTTAAAATTTTATAAAATACCGAATGACGAAAAAAATAGAGTACATGCCTAGTTTCTTTTACTATAATTGGTAGTAAAAGAAAAAAAAAACAATTGTTTTTTCAAATAAATCAACCAACAGAAAAAATGATTCATATATATAAGGCTACACATATGATTAACTGGAGAAGTGCATAAATAAAAACTTTTCATTGAATTAACCTAAGTTAATTGCTTATTACAGTTAATCAATAATGAAAAAAGAAACTTTACTTTTAACAGTTGACAGGTAACTATGGGAAACATTAAAATATTAGCATGAACTATCGAAAGTGCTCTTTCTCGGTTAGTATTGTGAGAAGTGTACTTGAAACAAAATCTCCTTTATAATGTGTGTACTATTCTTGATATGTTCTCAAAGATCATTTATTCATCATTCCATTTTTAGCATAATGGTTCTTATTCTATTATATATTTTTTTCTTGATTCCAACATTTCTATTATAAATACAAATGTTAAATATTGTAAAATTACATTTTCTTAACAAGTTAAAATAATATATACAAAATTTTTTAACACCAATTTTTACTTTTTTTATAAAATAATTCAATAAATTCTTTAAAAAAATATCTCATTATTCAAAAATTGCCACTCGTTTGTTGTGTCGTGAGAATAAAAAGTCTGGTTTTTTTTGTTATGAATATAATTGAATATAAACTAATTGATTGATGACGACAAATGTTTTTCTTAGAAAAAAATAATTAAGTTTTCATGTACTCGACCTAAACACACTATGGATGTGAATTTATTCTCATATCGGATAGACTAACTTATTTTGAATATTATTATTCTTGATGATTATTCCAATCGTTATTGTTTCTCGAACTAGTTTACTCAAAACCTAAAGAACTAAAGGTCAATTAAATTATTTCTAGATGTATGATCGAGCGGCACGTTCATTTCACCTTAAGATTGGTTGTACACCAGATCATGTTGGACCGGGTAGCTATGATCATCGAAGGAAAAAAATTGCTGAAGGTTTGTTTTTTTTTGTATATCATTGACAAAGATAATCTTTTGTTTCACGTTAAATCTAAATAGAAAGTTATGCACCATTTTTATCACTTTCCAGTCGTGGTGATGTATTTTCTAATGATGACAATCCTGGTCCAGGTCATTATGATATTCGAAATGGTCCGTCGCCAACAATTAAAGTAAGATAGAATAAATTATCATTTTTTCTTCAAAACTTTCTGACAAAGAAAAAGAAGGCCATGACAATGAATAGTTTTACTCGTTTTACAAAAGTTTTTTTTTTCAAATAATTATTATCATGATAGAAAAAAAATTCTTTGTTTGTTAAATAACAATGACTATGAACGGAATGCGAGAATTAGTATCTAAGTAAACAAAAGAAAAGGATAGCTTGATATATATATTCTTTTCTTCTAAAATCAAACAACATTGATCCATGATATTCATTAATTATTTCTTTCATATGAAAATCACTTTGTTTTGATGTTTTATTTATTTCATTTCAAATTGTGAATAAAAAAAGAAAGCTTATAGTTACGATGAATAGATAAGCAATAAATGTAAATTTGACTTTTTATGAATGCGGAAAATACTCTTTCACATACCATTATAATGGATGTTTTATTTATAATAAAAAAATTTTATTTTGAATCGCATAAACGTCCGACTGCTTTTGCACGTATTCCTGCTCGTTTACGTTCATCAAGATTTGGTTGAAGATCATTAATCATTTCATCCATGAGAGCATAAGTTAAAGCCGGACAATCAATAAATGGTAAAAACAGATCCGGTGATTTGTATATGTTAAAGTATTTTTCAGTAAATCGTTCTAATTCATAACGTTTTTCTTCTGACCAATTAGGATAATCATTAAGATGTTCAATAAATTCCTTCATAAAGTAAGCTTTATCTTCATCCGTAACATATGAACTCTCAAGTAACATGGTTTTTAAAAGTGGCAAATTCCATTCAACAGAATAACTTGAACTTTGTGGAATATGAGCCACAGTGAATAAAAGTTTCAATGGATTAAGGTGACGCATTACATTTGCTTTTGGTTTGATAAATATAGCCGTTGGAGAAGATGGTGACTCTTCACTTTGATGTGATTTTCCATGGTTTAATTTAACAAGAAAGATCAACATATATTGAATTATAATTATTGTCTTAAGCATTGTTATTAATTGAGATATTATAGAATAGACCAGAATTGTTTATGTTTTGCGTGTTCACGACACTGACAATAAGGAATGTTGTGAAAGAAGAATATGAATGAGTTGTTTCTTCAAATTTCCGTCTTATAAAAAGAAGCGAAAGGGCGAAAAAAAGAGAGAAACAGAGAGAGATAGATATAGAGACCGAAACAGAGACAGAGACAGAGAGAAACAAAATCAGAGACAGGAAGAGAGAGAGAGAGAAAACATAATCTATCTATTCCTGCATATTCATTGGAGGAGGATGATTTGTAATTAATCATTAGAATGCACCGATTAATCATTATAACTGGTATCCAAGGACACATCGACATAGGATTTCTTTTTTTTTTCTCAACTACCTTTTCTCATATAAAGGTGAACTAAAAGACTCTAAATGCTTAAATTGTTAAATAGAGCGAATAATTTTCTGCATCGTTTGATCTACTGTGCTTTCTTCCTGTCAAAAATCTGGTTGTGTATATTAGCAAAAACAAAAAAAAAGAAACTCTTTTAATATAGAAAATTTATAAATCGCAACACGTACAATCATTAATCAAATAATAAACATAATATTTTTTTTTCAATATATCAGTCTATCATAATGATATCTATTAATTTTTTTTGGATCATATTGATAATTCTTTACACGCAGCTATTTAAATATACTCGATAGAAATTTTCATGCATTTTTACTACTATTTTTGTATTTTTCATGTTAAAGTAGTTTTAAAATGATGAGAATATTGATGAATATAATATTGAAGAAAGTATAAAGTAATGAAAATAGTTTTTTTTTGAGACTTATGTTGCCTGACATCGACTTTTTCTTTATCTTCATACTTTGCTTATTTATGGTGATGATTTCATACAAACACATTCACGCGTATGAGTCTAAGATAATAGCGTTAATAGTATATATTCAAAAGAACCAAATAGGTGTACTTCCGTAGGGGATGTTTTGTTTAATTTTTACAAAAAAAAAGAAAACAACTATTGACCTTTCTTTTTTTTTTGTTTGTCTAATTCAGGATATTATTCAATAAACAATGTCAGGTGATCTTTATCAGACGATTGATTTAGCTGCTTCTTGCTTTTTCTTTATTATTATTCTTTTAATAAAAATATTCAATAAATTATTTTATTTAAGGGAGGAAATACCATAGCCAATAGAGCAAGTCGTTTTGATCAGAAACCTGCCGATGAAACACCAGGTATATTCTATTAACATAAATAACATTAATAATAATATTCTTAGGACCTGGTACTTATGATTTCAATAAGAGTCAATCACCTCGCTCACTTACTGTTGATAGTATCAAGGCAAGTCATCATTAAAATGTTTTTTGATAATATTCAACATTCATAATTTAAATTGGTTTTCTATTTTTTCCTCTACACAAATAGCATCAACGTCAATATACGTTTAACTATAATCGTAAATCGTTGCCTCCTTCAATTCCTGATCCAAAATATGCATACGGTTTTGAAGAAAATGATGCAGGAAAACTTGTTCCACAACATCCACCTGATCGAGATGCAAGTTTAGGTCCTGCTTTTTATAATGCATCAGTATCTGTATGTTTTTTTCTTATGATTTAGTTTTGTTTTTATATGATATAAAAATATTTAGGTAGAGAATGATACATCAAGACTTTATCATGGTGTCCATTTTGGTAAATATTCAAGTAAACGTACAGATTTTTCCGGAAAACTAGGTCCTGGTCCAGGTGAATATGATCCAACTAATCCAATTAAACTTGAAGTTCAACATATGAATATGAAAACATTGGAAAGACGACCAGAATTACAAGTACCACGATATCCTGATGTTATGCTCAAAACAGTTACTAAAGAAGTAATTATAAGCAACAACAAAAAAACATTTATTTTTTCTTTTTCTAAATTTATTTATTATTTAGAGTCTTCCTGGACCTGGTCAATATTCAATAAAACGTGACCTTGATCCTCAACTAACAAAAACTGAAATAATAGGAATTGAATTTGAACGACCACCATTCGGTTCACAAACAAAAGTAATTTTCAAAAACAACATTCTTGATCGAAATAAAAATAATCTTTAATCATTTTCTTTTGCTTAGCGTTTCGATAGTTTTACATCTGAAGTACCCGGTCCTGCAAGTTATAATGATAAAGTCTTAACAGCATTTAATGATAGTCAAACAAAACCAACGAGTCTTAAACGAACACCATTTAATCAAACAGCAGCTCGATTTGTATCATATGATTACAAATCGACAAGTGCACCAGGTCCTGGTCAATATCGTATAGCTGGTTTTGCTGATGAAAATTTACGACGAGCAGTTGTTGAAGGTGGAAAAAAACCACCATTCAATGTTACTTCAATACGTAAATTAACTATAACACGTAAAGATGATTATAATACACCAGGTAGAATTTCGACTTTTTAAAATTATAATAATAACAATATTTATCAAAAACAAAAGGTCCTAACAGTTATGATATTAAAAGTCAACCATATAAACCAAAAATTGACCATCCATCAGCCAATTTTATTTCTAGCACTGCTAGAGAACCACTTATTGAAGTAAAAAATTTCTTTTATTAATTTTTCTGCATTATATATTCTTTTTATTGCTTTCAAAGGATCTACCCGGTCCTACAGCATATGATGTTCCACGTGCTTATCATGCATTAATATCTCAACATCGAAAATCACCACGTTCAAAAAATGCTCGTCAACGGCAGAGTCAATTCTTAAGTGCTGCTAAACGAACATTTGCTGGTGAAATATCAAGTGATACACCTGGACCAGGTGCATATGATGGTTTTATTACTTCACGTACACATGGTTATGCACCTGTACGTTCTTCCCGGTTTTATCAAGATGTTTCCAAAATGCCCGGTCCTGCTGATTATGAAGTAAGAAATGAACAAAATAAATACTCAAAATCACCTCATGTTCTGCATATTTTTAGTTATCGCCACTTTTACAAGATACTGTTCTTCGTGGAACATTTAATTCAACATTAAATAATCCTATTTTAGCTAAATTACAAAGTCGTGCTTTAAGAGATGAACAAGCAGCTATTACAGAGTCAAGTTCTGTTCCAACATTACCAGTTCCAGGTGAAACTAATGGTGGTGTAGTTGCACATGCATAAAAATAGACTTAACAAAATAATGACATATTTTTTATTTTTCTTGTATAAAATTTATTAAACTAATAAAACACAGTTAATATCGGAAATCATCTTATGATGCTAGGTTCCAAAATACTGTTATTTCTATGATATTGATTCTTCATCTTTTTTCATTACTTTCTTAATGCATCTGCTTGATTGTAAATGCTTCTTTTTAATGTGAGAACAAATCAAGTTTATATTTCAGAAGTTTACTGGTTTCTAATAGATGGTATTTTTCTTTTTTTTTGTTCTGTCATTCAATGAATCAATACCGCATACAATGAAAACAACTTTCTCTACTATGACCTAAACAACAACTCATATTGATTCTATTCCTTGAACATAAATTAATAATACTTTATTTGTATTTCTATTTTGTTACGAACTAACTCTCGTTGAAGATTCATAAATGCTACCTTTATTATTTATCTTTCTATTAATTAGAATATCCGGTTGACTGACATTTGAATAAGATATTCAAATGTCTACAACGATAACAAGGTTTTGTGAAATTAACCTACATTTTTCGAGAAAACGGTGAGTATAAGTTTTAAGTCGAAGTTTTGCGACTACTGCTCATCACTATACTCCTTAGCAACAGAAAAAGTGTTGAATGGCATTAACAACAAGACTTACACTATTCTAGAACATTCCAAAACTTTCATTGAACTTTGAATAGTTAGAAAACGCTTGTGAATATTCTAAAAAGTGTGAATTGATCAAGTTATTACTTTCGAAAGTAGTCAATATCAGTGTTTGTAAGTTCATTAAGATAGATAATAGTGTCGAAGTCTGCTGTAGATATAATGAATATATACAATAATGCTAAATTAACAAAAACAAATTCTGTTCGAAATGTAGAAATACATAAGAAATCGTTTTTCTCGTGATTGATGATCCTTGACAAATAACTATGGTGTGCAAGAGATTTTTCACGCTATGTATTTGGTATTGGTATAATGAAGCGAACGAACACGTGTGAGCTGTGCTGCCAAGGTTTTCTATTAAGTCTTCATGATCATCATTATATTAATAATATATTTATCAAGTGCAGCAAACGGCACAGACAATTACACTTTGCATATGAGATACTTAACTTCATTCTAGAAGTAGCTTAGATTCCTGTCGACTGGATTCCGCCATTTTTACTTTCAAAACAAGTCAGATAATTGTTTACAATAACAAAACAATACATTCTGACATTTTAAAAAAACTACAGTATACATATCATAACGATATATCCATTCTTTGTTAACAAATATAATAAAAAGAGATTTCCTATATCTTTAACTTTTGATACATTTCAAAATGAATTTATTTTATAAAAAAAAAAAAAGTTATTATTAAGAACCTAAGTGATAAACAAGTCCATCTAAATATGCATCAACTTTTAAATTAGGTAAATTGAGCATAACCAATTCAACATTAGCTTCATCGAACATTTGCATTGTTATATCATCATGACCAAGCCACTTTTCTCGTTTAATCGTTGTACTTAATTTATAAAATTGTTCATGCACATAAATCTTTTTAATACCACTTTGAATAATAGCACTAAAAAACACTTATAAATTGATTTAAAACAGTAATGAAAAAAACAAGAAAGATTTACCGAGCACAATCTACACAAGGCAATGCTTGAACATATAATGTAGCTCCTTCAGTTCGTATTCCATGTCGAGCAGCTGTAAAAATTGCATTACGCTCAGCATGTTCAAAAAACATATATTTAGTAGGGCGTTCAAATCGATTCGTTAAATCTCGAACTCCTAATGAAAACAAAAAAAAAAGAATTACAAAAACAAATTGCGCATGTATTTAAATCACATATATTCACCTTCAGGTATTCCATTATATCCTGATATAAGGTCACGTCGATCACGTACAAGTACTGCACCTATTTTTGTTCGAGGATCTTTTGACTTTTTTGCTAGAAAAATCAAAGCAATAGTTGTTTTCCTAAATTACTTATTTTACTCATCTGACCTGTTAAATAAACTTTAAGCATAAAAAATTCATCCCAGTTTGGTGGTTTATAATCATCAAATGGTATACCTTGTGGTATTGGTTTAAGCGATACATCGTGAAATTGTCCGTTCATTCTTTTTTTCAGATTCAACTTAACCTATAAATCTATACCTTGTTCTATGTTTGTTTCTGACATTATCTTCATTACTTATATACATATGAATATTGAATACGTGACTGTTATCAAGAGCAAAAAAAATCATTTTTATTGTTTTCTTTTTCATGCATTGTTCACACGCCAAACGGACGAGATAGGACAGAAAAAAAACAAAAGAAAAGCAGATAAGAATAGAATTAATCGTCAGAAAAATATTCGGCATCATCGTCTAGTTTTGATGGCGACGAGCTTATCACGTTCGTATTATTCGTTGATGTTTTTTTCTTTCGCGATGATTTATCTATTGCAGTTTTTACTGATCCTTAAAAAAGAATAGAAGATAAATATGCAAACAAATATTAAAGACAAACCTTGTTCTAATGGAACTACATTCGATGATATAAGTTGAACATAAGCTTCAGGTACAAGACCGGATCTATCACGTCCTTTAGCAATAAGCCAACCTTCATATTCGGGCTTCGATTCAATAAATATTTTATCATCCTTTCGTACAGACATTTCATCTTCATTTGTTCCTTCAAAATCATATAAGACAATTGCTTGACATGGGAATGTTGGTGTTGAAACAATATTTGTTGATGAAGTATCACTCTGAAAAAATTTCACTTTAAAAATTAATAATTTTTATTGAAAGTGATATACCTCACTTGAAGTAGTTGCTACCGTAGCATCGATCGGTGGATTTTCCTAGGTAAATAAAAAAGGTCTCATGAAAAAAATTATTATAAGATAAACGAATGATTCAAGGTTTAGAATATCATAAATTTTTAGGAAACGAAAAGTCAATTAGATATCGAATTGAAATACAAAGGAATTATAAGAAACAAGATCAGCTATAATATTTTTTTGTATTCGATATGCGCCTCAAAAAAGTACCGAATATGTCACGATGAATTTGAATTATTTTTGTTTTCTAGACTAATTAACAATAAGTGTGAGGAAGTAGGATGTTTCTGTCTAAAACATTGATTACATAATGTTCGACTATTTCATATAGATATCATCATAGACTAGAATACTTCCGAGTTATCCAATTTTCATTGATTATCTTTAAAATTTGAAGACGACATGAATTTGAACTTCATTAAAAATTTTTAAGTAATACTAACAGTTTTCGAAGTAGAAATAAACGGTCGTAGACCACCAATAAATTTCGATGTACTACGAGTTGACGCTGATATTGTTTTAATATTCGGTACTAATATATCTAAAGACATTAAAATTCATATTAATTAAATATAAAATTTCTATTATATATCTGTTGTTACCTAATGTATCAATGACAAATGAAGCCATTGATTTTCGCATCTAGAAAGAAAAAAGAAACAACATAAATCGATATAAAATATATAGATATTTCAAACCTCCATTCGTTTAAGTCGAATTTTTGATGCATCCATTCTTGAATCCTATTTAAAATGTACAAAAAAATCATTATCGAATTGATAAATAATGGATGATGCAAACATTCCGCATTAATTTTGTTCTTCAGTATAGTGTGACAACAACTCGTCGTGAACGCTCGATAGTCTACTTAACAGAAAAAGGAATGTGTCTATTAAAAAAGTGTGTCAAAACTAAAATACTTAAGGATGATTAATTTTGATCTGACACGACCATCTTTAAGACTAGTACTCGTAGTCTACCGGAAGTCAATGTAGACTCTAAGGGATATAATATACAAAATTGTTACTACTCTAATATGGACATTGAAGACTTGTTTTCAAAAAGAACAAATAGAAAAGTAGTTAGTTTGAACTATATCTTTTGTTTTTCACTACCATATTGTTCTTTGTTTTTTGAGACATCTGAAATCATGCATCAGTATTCACATATAAGAAGAACAATAGCGTACAATTGATTGGTGTTATTAGTGTACTGTACGAAGTGTCCACAACAGATAATTAAAAAGACATGTTTCGATTAAATGTTATGCATACATGATATAACAATAAATCTCACTCTGGTTTGGATGAATCTCAGGTTATCGGCAAGTGCTCATATGTACTTCGATATGACCTACTTATATATATAATGGTTCGTCGTAACTGGCAGATATTATCAGTAAGCTATACTAGTCGTCATGAGGGCATATGTGGAAGATGAGCGGTTTCAATTAATATTGTATACTTGTTGCAATGTGATGGAATTGATTGTGGTCGTGTCAGGATTAAGAATATGCTGGACTAGACAAGTGTCTTGGAATTTCACACAAAATTGGTGATAGGAAATACATTGGATCGGTTTTTCTTGTATTCAGTTTTCGAAAGTTTTAACCACTTTATGTGTGAGTGTAACCAACACGATGTGGGGTTTCTAATAGTATCAAAATACTTCAATAAGTTTTGCTAAAAACTTGATTTTTTTCTCTAGAAAACTTAATTAAATTTTTCCTATGAAGATGTGCTCATATAGAGAACTCACTAAACTTTAAATGGATATAAAATATGGGGCGTTGACTCATACCGATTATTTGAAAATTTTTTTTTTTCGAAATCCCTTTTCAATAGCAAAGGTCGTTAGAACAATGTTGATTTCAAATTTAACCAATAACGTAAGAATTTTATTTTTACATGTTTACAATGTAAATTTCCTAGCGCTACGAAACTCGACACACGACGGAGCATAATGCTAACTCTTTTTATGTATGAAGGTTTTCTTCCAATTTCCAACAGCATGCACAAAACTCTTCTACCCTTGGTTATTATTTTAAACAAAAATATTTTTTTATAGAGTTTTGTGGTTTCTAATAAGAAAACTATTGAGTGATTGTTGCACTATATAAAAACAAAAATATTACAGAACTTTTGTGTCATCTATTCAAAAATATCTTTATATATACTTTATTCTGTTGTGCATTAAGTACTGAACTTTCTAATGCTGATTGAATTTGTTGATCAGCATCACGTAATTCATTTACAGATGATGCATAACATGATGAAAGTTGTCCTTGGTATTTATCTTCAGTATTAATCTGATCACTCTAGAAATATAAATGAAAAAAAAAAAACTTAACCATAAATACATAAAAATTTTCTTATTTGACTTGATCAGCTAAAATAGTCAAAGGATAATTTTGGAATATTTTAGGTAATAAACGTCGTTTTTGTTCATCACCATCCTATGCGACAAAAATAAACCAAGATTAATGCATAAATATATTCTAAATTTAACTTATTACTTCAACAGCTGCATGTATTGCATGTTGAAGTGTGTCACGAAGACGTTTATATTCAACATAAACAAGATCATCAAGTACTTGTTCGATTTGTGGAAAAAGATCACACACCAATAACTAAATTAAATAAAAATAAAATAAAATCAAATACATTCATCAAATCATTTATACTTTATCTAAATCAACAATAAATTGTTCAATATAAAATTTTAAAGCATAATTCATTTGTTGAACATGCAAAATATACATATTTCGTGTATCAACAACAGAAGTTTCAAGTCTATCTAATTCATTCTAAAAAAAAGTTTATTGCTTTTTTTTATAAAGATTAAACAAGCTTGAATTTTTACTTTTGGTAAAATCTTATTATGTAATCGTTTAATACTACTTTCTTTTTCTTTAGCTGAATTTTGATGATGTCGTAAACGTTCACATGCATCATCATATGCACGTTTTGCTTTTATTGTACGACGTTCAACATCAACCATTTCTCTTATAATTTCTTCATCATAGAGTAAAATCTATTTTAAATACATAGAAAAGATTTTAAAAACTAAATAAATATTTTTTACTTTATTATGTTCATCAACTTTTTCATTTTTTATTTTTTTTAAATTTTCTAATATAACTTGTCTAAGTACAGGATATGATGCTTCGCGTTGAGAATAATGTTCCATTAATTCTTTTAGAGCTGTTGTCCAACTTGAACCAATAATACTGAAAAAGAAAAGTCAATTAAAAAAAGTTTATGAGTAAATTCAAGTGTCAAAGCAAAGCAATCGACTACATTCTTAAGTAATAAATTACAAAGAAGAAAGAGAGCAAAAGAATTTTTGTCATGTTTCCATCTCTCGGAATACCTTTGTCCAAGATAGGACATGCTTTGTGCATGTTCAAATGATTTTTGCAAGCTACTTTGCATTCTCTATAATAATAAGATATGTTAGTTACTGATGAAACACTCAAATAAAAAAACAACAAGAACAACACTCAATTTTCATATCATATATGATTACCTCATGTGTGTGTTTTTCCGTTTTATAAAATGATTCAATTGTGGACCTAAAATTAAACAAAATCGTTCATCTTTATGAATAAATTTCTTCGAAGAAAAAAAAATAAATTTACATCATATCATCAATTATAGTTATTTGATCATTTGTATAACATTTTAAACGATTATGTATAGCATTAAGTGATCCTTCAACTGTTTGTTTATCACCGCCGATCTATTAGAGATTTGAAGAAAAATTTTAATAAAATTTTTTAATTTATCTATACTTACTTCTGACGTTGCAGTCATGATAAACAAAGAAAAATAAATCTGAAAGAAAAAAAAAACCTAAAGTGATATTGTATGTTGAAAAAACAAAGGGTCACAAAAAAAAATTTTGAAATAATTTCATTCTTCTAAATCTACATCAACCATTGTTTGTGTAGCAACCAAATTTCGAAATAATCCATTTTCAATGTTCATCAATTCTGTATATGTGCCTTGTTCACCAATACGTCCTTTATCAAGTACAGCTATTTGATCAGCTTTGATTATTGTTGATAAACGATGTGCTATTATAATAACAGTTCTATTGACCATGATTTTTTCGAGAGCTTCTTGAACCAAATATTCTGATTGAGCATCAAGTGCCGATGTTGCTTCATCCTTTGAATATATTTACATATATAAGATAAGCAAGAATTATATGATAAGTACATACGAGAACAAGAATACTTGGATCACGTAAAATGGCTCGACTTAATGCAACACGTTGTTTTTGTCCACCTAATAAATATAATTAAAAAAATTCATTGAATAAAATTTATTTTCATATAGAAAATAGAAAAAATATCATGTATTACCGGAAAGCATTGTTCCTCGTTCACCAACTTTGGTATTATATTTCTCAGGTAATTGTTCAATAAATCCACTTGCATTTGCTGTATTAGCAGCTTCCATAACTTTATTTTTAAGAACAGTTTCTGGAACATTTTCTATTACAGTTGGATATCCATAGGCAATATTATCATAAATTGATGATGAGAATAAAACAGGTTCTTGTGGTACAGTACCAATGTTTGAGCGAAGCCAATGAAGTGGCATATCTTTAATAGGTATATTTCCAATACGGATTTGTCCCGATTGTGGTTCATAAAAACGAAGTAATAATTGACCTATTGTTGATTTTCCTGAACCAGAACTACCACATATAGCTAGTACTTTACCACCAGGTACACGAAGTATTAAATTATCAAGAACTAATACATTCGGACGAGTTGGATAACGAAATGATATTGAATCAAATGTTATATCACGCAACATTAATGCTGGTGTTAATGGTTCTCCATGAATTGTATGTTGACTTTGACTTGAAAGAATTATTTTTTCATTATGATCATCATTCAAAATCGACCATACTGTTTGACTAAAACGAAAACATAAACATAAAATGTTTAAAAATCAAAAGCTTTAATTATTTACCTTGCTCCAATACCTTTCATTAATTCGAGATGAAAAGAGAATATACCAGATATAGATACACCAACCTAGAATAATTGTTTAATGAAAAATACACAACGGTTAACGTAATCATTGCAAGATTAAAATGTGAAACACAATGAAGTTGCTCATGTTAATCAGAGGAAGTTTGCTTTATTCTCTCTATTTCAGAGCCCATCTCTTCACCATCCTTCCACTTAGTTCTCTAGAAATATAATAAGCAAGTCGTTCAAATATTAAAGTGAGACCTTATTGACATACGGTCTATGATTATCTCTGACTAACATCTGTCACAGTCTGTGGAAGATTCAAGTTTTTACCTCGATACTTTCTTACTCCTTTCAAGATCGTGTTTCACAAAACCTTAATTACAATAATTATATAAACTAACGTAAAATGCATATAATAAAAAGCTTGATAAATCTCCAATAGTTAATGATTCTTCGCTCATTGAAACACCACCAAAATAAAAAACACTTAACACAATAATATTTCCTGATAAGCCAGTCATACCATAAAAAAGTCCATAAGCTAATGATTCTTTATATTTTAATTGTAGTACATTGCTAATTCGTTGATTATACAATTGTATTTCTTGTTCTTCTTTTGAAAATGATTTCACTAAAATTAAATATAAAAAGCAATAAAAATTTCTTTCGTTATTCATTCAACAAACCAGTTCTTATATTGGAAAAACGTTCTTCTGCAACATCGGTTGCTTTCGCAAGTGCATCTTGTACTTTACGTGATAATCGTTTAATAAATCTTCCAAAAAGAATTGCACCAACAGCTACTGGTGGTACAGTTGTTAGACCAACTAATGCTAATTGTGGACTTATATAAAGCATTAAACCAACACCAGCAACTGATTGTGTTAATGCTCGAAGACCATCAGATATATTTTGTGTTACAGCATTTGACATAACTTCTGTATCTGATGACAGACGATTGACTAATTCACCTGTTTTTTGTTTATCAAAAAAAGCCATCTCTTTTCGAAGTATACCATTAAATAATTGTTCACGTACACGTTTTATAATACGTTGTGATGTTGTTAAAATTAAATAAATACGACCAAAATTAGCTATTGCACCTATTCCAAACACTCCAATGAGTAGAAGTGTTGTTTGTTTTAAACGTCGGCGAAGTTCCTCATGTTTATATGTTTGTAACATATCAATAATTTTCCCAAGAATATATGGTACAGACATAGTAACACTACTTGATATAAATAAGAGTATAATGGCACACCCAATACGACCTTTTTCATTTTGTGCTAAACGAAAAAGTTTTCCAAGATCACTAAATGTTAATTTTACTTTAGGAGTATTTGTAGCATTATTAGCTAATAGTTGGGGACGATCACCACGTCGTGGACGAATTGATGTCAATGAAAATTGACGATTAGGAGTTAATTTAAATGATCGGCATTGATGAGAATGAATAAGAAAATTTGATGAGCGATTAATAAATGATGAAAGAAGCGTTAGACGATGAAATATCATTTTTAAAACAAAGATTCATCTAAGACAAAAAGAAAAAAAACAATTTTTTGTCTGTCCTAATGGGAACTTATATATTAACAGAAAAAAAAAAAGAAAAAACAAACATTTCTTATGCTATAGTGCCTAATAATCTACGATTGTTCAAACGGTCTAATCGCTTATTAAGACGATCATTTAATTCAGGCCATTTAGGTCCATAGAGACCTTCTTTGCCAGGTGCAGGACCTTCTTCAAGCCGAACCATATAATGAAAATAACGATAATGTATGGCAGTGAAACTATATTTTGGTCGTCGACGTAATCCTTTAACGATTAGAGCTCGTTTTGTATATGATTGAGCTACAAGAGAAAAAAACAAAACATATTAATTGACAAATGAAATAAATATCTTTAGAACTGTTGTAACCAATGAAATGTAACTTATGAGAGCACCTCTTCACGAGTTTCTGTTTGATTTCAATAATATTTTTTCCTATTGATATTACATGGTATTTGAATAAAAATCTTAAAATGATGTAGTTTTTTGTTGAAATTTAGTTAATCTATTGAATATTGCTTTAGAGGTCATAGGTTTTTGGAAGATTTATATTTTCGAATTTTCATATGAAAATTTGTGCATATAGAGAATTCAACTAGACTAGCTTCCATAAAAAAAATACACAAGTTTTAAACAAAGACTCCTCGAGATATGAAACTTTTAAGATATAGACCCTTTTCCAAGGATAGTGTATATAACATGCGTTTTTTTTGAAAGTTTCATATTTGGAAGAGTCCTTGTTTAAAACTTCTGAATTTTTTTATGGGAGCTAGTCTTATTGAGTTCTCTTTATGCTCGAAATTTCAGACCAAAATTTGAAAATACAAGTTTTTAGAAAGTTCGAAGCTTCCTAGAAAATAGGCATTTTAAAAATTGGATAGCTTACAATGTCTGACTCAAGTCTGATCACGAAATAAATTGTTGACCTCTAATGGGGTCAGATCGGATTACGAAACAGTTTTTGGATATCAGGGTGGATCTACAATTTGAGCATTTTGCAGATACAAAAAGGTATTTTAAATATTTTCTTCATTTAAAAGTCTCATTAGAGAATGTGAAAAAGCTTTATAGAACAAAAAGCTATGTGTCGCAGTATTATTTCTTCTACTTCACCGATTTTTCTTGGTTGACATCGGACAACGACGTATAGAGAGCGTCTTGTCTACTCAATGGTGGTAGTAAGTTTGTACGTTGTATATATAAGAAAAGAAAGACAAATAAGAAAAAGATTCTATGACATAATTGGATTATCCAACCGCGGAATATCGACGAAAAGAAGTCAAGGAAAGGAGATATCAATTGTTTTCAGCTAAGAAATCAAGGAAGAGAAAAGGTTGGAGAATTTTTTTCTTAAGACAGGAAGAAAAGTGGTTGATACCAGAGTCCGATTCGAGTCAGCTCGGATCAAGTTACAAAATTTGACCCATTTCGGACACTAATAGCTTAGTCAGATGTCTATTGGAACTCCAATCTTGTTAGTGTTTCGACCGACACACTATGTAGTATCTTATAGGCAAAAAATAATCATTAAAACTGGAAGAATATATCTGAAGAGGTTCTCTCTTGTTAGTTGCTGCAGTAGTTGATTTTTGAGAAAAAGAATCGAGATGAAATATTATCTTTAAACTCTAAGTACTCAACATTTCTTATGTGAAAAATATGATTTAGAGTTCTCTTTTGTTTTAGTGTTTGCGATACTTACACACCCATAAATTAGATTTATATTCAATATTATGTTCTTTAACAGCCATTTGTTGTGCTTCGATAAGTGTCTGTAAACAAAACAAAGAGATAAAACTAATGGATCCATGTACTTTTTTTTCTTACATCACGCATTTGAATTGCTGTCGGTAATTTATGAAAAGATAATTGTTTAATAGCTTCATCAATACTCATACCACGTACCTTTAAAACAAAATTATATATATATATTAGGCTTCTCTTTTCGTTTCTTTTTAATTCTTACCATTTGTGCTAGAAACCAATATTTCTTGATATTTCCTCGAATGTATGTTCGACAATGATGAACATACTACAAAAATAAAAATTGCATAATCGTGTAAACAAAAAAAAGATCCACTTTTGATATTTACTCCTTTTCGTGGGTCTTCTCCAGGTGCTGTCGGTGGATAAACAACACGATTGTATTTATCCCAATCATCAGGTATACCAAATGGACTAGAATGATCATCAGTTCGAATGGTATCAGCTGGTTGCCAATTACTACCACGAAAAACTTCAGGTGGTGGTTTACCATGATATACTGGTGTGAGTGAAAGTGAGCGAAACCATGTTATTGTTGTTGACAACGTATGTCGAGGAAAAAGTTTTTGAAGTATAGAAGTCATTACTGCATTGTTTTATTGATCAAATATTAGACTATCTACAAATTAGATCCGAATATGTATACTAAAGCGTTTTCTTTAAAAATTAAAATCCTTAATAACTAATACAATGTTTAAACAAACTTTTTTTTTTGACAAAAAAATAGTATTTTCCTATGAATATATAAGTCATGATGAAAATACTCATGCATGTACATATACTACTTAGATTTTATGATAGTTCATACTTTCATTTCAAACAAAAGTAAATATATTCATTATCATCATCATTCTCTTATTTTTTTTTTGTGATCATAAATATGTTATGGTTTTACATAGAAAAACTTTTCAAAGATAAACATACGCAAGTAAGCTCAAACATACAAAGATGTATGACATCACTTTAGATAGGTAACATAGATAAATATCAAAACAACCTTTAAAACAAAACTAAGAAAGACACAAAAAAATATAGGTGAGAAACGAAACAGGAAGAAAATAAAGAATTCGAAACTCTCAAAAGAATGAAACAATAATAACATGCAATCATAGATTCGATAGAGAAAAGAAGAAAAAAAAACATACAAACGGTTCTTAATCTTTTGCCAAAATAGAAAAAAAAAATCTGCCTTTATTTTATATTTGATCGTAAGCCATAATTCTTTTTTTTCTGACATAAGTATTCTTTGTTTAAATAAATACGACAAAACGAAGAAAAATATTAACGATATATCAGACAGTATTGTTTGATAAATGAGGAAAGATTTTTGATTTTTAATTGAGCCATTCAGATGGTGGTGGTGGTAAATTTGATGATGGTGGAGGTGGTGAACAATTTCCATTTGATGTTAAACCTGGTGAATACACATCAGGTACACATGAAGATGAAGATGATGACAGAGGTGAACGGCGATGTACACCATATGAATGAACATCTAAATATTCATTTTGACTTAAGATTATTAATATAGTCACTGAACAATCAATCCGTACGATATCATTATGACTTATGTCAGTTAATCCTTTACCTACTACTGATGTCACTGAAATGGTCATGTGCTGATCAATTATAAAAATTAAAAGATACATAGAATTCCGAAGATTCAAAAATATGTTTTATAGCCTATACGCATGCACCGAATTCGAACATTCGAGTTCGATGTTGACTAAGATCATTTTCAGTTATTTAAGAAAGAACATAGAAGTAAACCAAAAGAAAGAATGTCAGGCTTGATTATGGTAGATCTACAGACAGTGGAATAAATGATCCGAAAAGTGAATATTAACATTTATACTAAAAAAAGGTCAACAACATTCAGAAATACGTGAGCTAAAACTTAATCGAACCTTAGGATGCTTTTATGGTTGTTCATTACCTCAAGAGATGTCTGAGGATTCATCTGAATACTTGATACGGACTGAACTGATCGCATAGTGTTTGCATGCGAACATCAAGCCAGAGTTCGGGTTCGGTACATACCGAATAGCTGACTATATGAGTGAGTTATCGATTTATGAGAAAGAACATTGTGCTCCGTCTACAAAACTGTCAGTCTTACAGAACTGATTATTTTGAAGACATAAAAAATTGAATTTTTATTAACAAAATAATCTCTACCTTCAGACAGTGGAGATCTTTGGACTTGTTGTGTAATTATAAACTAATCAAAAGACCTACTGATAATTAATACAAGGTTCGAAAGCTTCATGCTAGCTAGAGCAACTACAAACAATAAATCTCAATATGGTTTGTACATTACCACTATTAGACAGACCAAGGACAAATAACAATAGAGCTAATACATGTATTGTAAACCTCGTTATAGGAGAGGTTGGGAATTAATATTTAATATAGATAAAATATTTTCTGCGATTATCCTGATTATTTGAAAATGCATATAAAAAACCTACGTACTGTTTCAACATTAATTTTTATGCATGCACTCCTTCCTTATTCTATTAATCCAGTACTAAGAGATACAATCAGCCTTTTACCTACTCAACATTGTTATAAAAGAAAAACAAAAGATTAGGATTTCTCAGGATGTTACTACATCAATCGAATATTCGACAAGCAAATACTTTATTTATAAAATTATTTAATCAGTGGTTTTTGTGAAACCATTGTAAGAGATAAAGGGGAAAAACCATGGGCAAGATTCCCCATTTGTTTAAGAAGTTTTGACTTGATCTTTTGGCAATAAATAGCTTTCCATGAGACTATGAAAACTACAAAAGCGTTTGTATCCATGACTCGTTTCTCTCGAGATATGATAAAATGCAAATCAAAGGGAAAAGAAAGTTCTATGTTATTTTTTGTTATAAAAAGATCGTTGCTCTATGAGTCTAACTTTTTTTTACAAACTCGATCTTGATCACTAATATACTTGAATTTCAAATATCGACGAAGCTGAATTATGCATTAATGAAACTTGACTAGTAAATTACCTGGTTTCAAACACTTTCTCCAATGTATGAGCAACAAAAAAGAATTATATAATATTACAGCTAAACAACAGGTGTGAAAAAAGTATAAATTCATTTAATGAGAGTAGTAGATAATAAAATATTTGACATAAAATTTTTATTGATAATAATTTTAAATATAATCAATACGAAAATATTCAATAGGTTATTGTTCTTAGAAATTCTTACCTTTACTATCTGTTATTAATGAACTTTGAAATGTGCATGGTGCACGATAAATAGGTAATGATAAATCAGTAGATTTAACATAATTATTATTTACTGTTTGATATTGAATATAACAATCTTTATTATTATAAAATTTCGTTGACCACACATAATGTTGTTTTGCTTTAATCATTTGACGATTATTGAATATGAATTGTTCATGATGTTGTTGACAATTCATTGTCCAATATTGTGAATAATAATATGAATTATTAAAATCACGTCGAACTGAATACATCTGCAAATAACAACAAGAAAAAAAAATATCAGAAAAAAGATAGATAGATAGATAGTTAGTTAGTTAGATATATGGCGCTCTGTGTTTTTTTTTTCTTTTTTGGCTTCTAAGTTTATAAAAATATGTATATGAACAAAAATACAAAAGAAAAAGAAAAAAAGAAAAAGAATTGATTTCCATCACAGGGTCATTAATTCTTCCACAGGTGCCGAAGTTGAAGATGATGGTATTAATGTTGAAATGGCTATTGTAACTGGAACATTTGTTGCTATTGTTGATGCTGAAGATAAAAATGAAGATGAAAGTGGAATAGATGATATAGATGATGATAAATCATTATTATTAATCATCATACCACGTAATGAATCTTGAATATCATTTCGAAATTGTGTTATATTTTGTGTAAAATGTTCTTTATTTATTTGTGTTAATGTACGATCAATACCTGTCATTAATTTATCTAATGCTGTCGATAAAATAGCTTGTTTAGCTTGTGTATGACCATATAATAATTGTTGTTTTATTTCAGTAAAAAATTGATTTTCATTTAATAATATTAAACCAAGAAGAGGTTTTGATACTGCATAAATATTTCTAAAAATAAATAAAACATGAATATTCTTTTTGAGGTCAACATAGTGATTTAATAATTGAAAAATTAATTATTGTATTAGATTTATGCTCATTTTAATTCGAACAAACTTTAATCTACATTACAAGGAATAGTATACATCAGATTACTCAACTTACATTCTAATATTATTCAGTTAATTTTTTTTTCTTAATTTTCTATAGAAAAATATTCGATATATATTTTATAGAAAATTTAATATTGCATCTTTCGACATGAGAATCAAATCTGAATCGTGAAAAGAAGATTTTAGTTCGGTCTCGGTCTTGAAGCATCGATGTGGATATGAGATTAAATTCATAAACGATTCAACAATTAATAAGATCTTGACTTGTAAATTTATGTTTATGTTTTCAAACCACTATTTATAGAAAACTGTAGAAGTGAAAAGCGATATTGTTTTATTAAGAAAATACGTTTTATATGAAAATTCATCTATAAATGATGATGAATCATATGATGTAGTAAATAAATACATGGAAAGAAAAATGAATTATTAAAAAAGTTGAACACGTATGATCACGATGAAAAAGCATTCATCGTATGAATTCACAATGATGACGTTTGTCACCAGTACTGAGCTCTATTCCAACATTATTAGCAAAAAATAACGTATACCTAGCAAAATTCATCAGATTTTAAAAGCAGATAGACATCAAATGAATCTTTATTCACTTGCTTTTTGAGATGATCTTTTCTGTTACTGTTTATGAGATAAAATAAATAGTGTACTTTTTCCTATAAAATAAAAGATCGAAAAATCATACTGTGACTGTAGGAGTATCTCTTATATGTCGATTAGCTGTCCATTTAGCTATTCGGGTTCGGTTGCGTAAAATTGAACCAATGTAAGACGATAGTTCCGGCGCAAGTGAGAACATCTTGTCTATATCTATTTAGAACATCTGAGTCCTGACAATCTGATAGTCGACGTAAGTTTTATACAACCATAACAAATATTGTCTTCAACGGAAAAGCGTTGATCCTGAGAGTATCTGGCTCATATGCAGTTGAATCACTTGAATATTCAAAACATTTGTTAATATGAAATCAATGAAACAAATCGAGCATTTATATATCAATTTAGAAAACTATAAATTTAATCTCAATTATTTATATTTCACATATTTATTTTTTTTTAACTCGATCGATTATTAAGAATTTATATTCACTTACTTGCATTCAGCAAATATAATTCCATTAAGTAAATTCACAAGTATTTGTCGAAATAAATTTCCATATTCATTAACATTAGCCATTATACTAGCTGGTGCAGTACCTTTTTTAACTGATCGAAAAACATATGATAGAAATGTATCCAAAAAAACACAACATGAATTTTGTATAGTTTGTTCAGGTGATAAAAATCCTTCACTTATTGTTTCAAGTACATAGCCAAATAATGGTGTTGTTAAATTAGCTAGAAAATCAATTTGTACAATTGATAATGTTTCAATCAATGTAAAATAAGATAATGTTAATTTTGGATATGATAATAAATGTGTTTGTTTAATAGATGTTAATATTGATAAAAATACTTGTAAACAATTATCAAAACATGGATCAGAATAAAGATGAAATACACCAAAATTAACATAATTACCTAAAAGAAAATATTTAAGATAAACTAAAAGATAATTTCTTTTTTTTTTTCTTACCAATTAAACATGCACGTATTATTCTTAAACATGTTATAATTGGTTTAAGTTTAGCTTTATAAAATAAAGTTCCATCAGTTTCAGGAATCGTTGCATTAATATGAACAATTGTTTTAGTTTGAAATATATAAAGAAGATTAGATGTTTCACGAAATAATAAATAAGCACTTGGTTTCGTTGAATCAAATGCTAGACGTTCTTGACGATTTGATGTTAATTCATGAAAAAATTTTAATAAAGGATTATAAACATCTGCTCGATCATAAAATACATAAAGAGCTTTTAAAAATAATGGTAAATATGATGGATAAAGCCAATCAAATAATGATGAATAAGCTTGTTTAGAAACAAAAGCACTACATAAACCACGAAGATCACGAACAATGCCAATAATAAGAGATTGAATCTCATCTAATGAAGCCAATGTTGGACTAAAAAAAAAAATTTCACGAATTTTAATTGACATTATCTTTTCATAGGTAAATTCCATGGTATATCCAATCGCACTTCTTTTTGAAGTGTTCTTTAACTGGCTTGGTGTTAGAAAACAATTTTGGTTGAGAAAATTTACTAACTTTTAATTGAAACGGTGGAGACTTTGAGTGATTTCATTAGAATGTCTATAGACAATTCCAACAGTGATTTTTAGATTTCGAACTCATTAGTAAAGTATAAATAGATGGAAAATCCCACTGGTTTGAAATTGAAATCTGTTTTCTAAGTGCAATATTGGTGTAAATACTCACAATGATTCACCGATACGGAGACACTAACTCTTAAAATAACCCATTTTTGTAACGGCGTATACGCGTAATTAGTATGCACCTTTTGCACTGATGAGGGAACCTTTTCAACTGCTCTATTCTGATATTTTATGGATTTTTTTTCCTATACATACTACACATTATTATAATAAAAATCTTGAAAGGATTTGTGTTTCTATTGATACTTGATTAAACTATCGAATTTCGATCTGAAACATTGCACAAATAGAAAATTCAAATAAATCAGCTTCCATAAAAATTTTTGAAAGTGTTGAATAAAGGCTCTTCGAGATATGAAGCTTTGAAAAAATATTTGTTGTACACACTATCGATAGAAAAGAGCGTATACTATTGAAAATCTCATATTTCAAAGTGACTTCGTTCAAAACTTTTAAATTTTTTTATCGAAGCTAATCTCGTTCATTTCTCTATATGCAGAAAGTTTCAGATCAAAATTCAAAAATATGAATTTTCCAAAAATCTAAGGCCTCTGAAAAATAGACATATTCACAATTCAATGGCTTAATCAAATATTAATAGGAGCCTACAGCCATTTAGAATTTTTATTACAACAGTATGCTGTATAATCATCGGAATTAGAAGGAAGCAGCTGAAGAGGCTTCCTAATGAGTCGCTGACTTCAGTGGTCAATAAACTGATACTACACACTCCTACTGTTTTCTGATCATTTCATATCTAATTAACACAAAAAAAAATCTATATAACTCTTTCCAAACACTAGTTCATACTCATAGATTTACTCATAATCATCTCTCATTTAATTACGGATATATATTCGTCTCTTTAAAACCATTATTTCAAGTTTTTTCTTTGAGTTTTGATATATTCTTACTTAAATTGACCCATTGTTGCAAATTGTCCTACATTAAATGCTGTAAAATCTGGAAATTCTTTAAATATTTGTACTAGTCTATTGCAATGATTTGTAAATGGTGTCATAAATGCTTCAACACGATCATCATCATCTTCATCATAACGAAATTCATGCATTAACATTCGTCCAACAGCAGCATAAAATGTTGTTCGAAGACGTGACCAACTACTAGCAGTTATATTACTATTATTTGAACGTTTAGTTGTAGATGCATGATGAAGGAATGGAAATAAGTCTTGTGTATGATTATTAATAAAATATTGAATTGGATCAAGTTTAACTAATCTACGAACACTTTGATAACCTTGTGAAAGATCACTAAAGCATCCAACTGTACGTTCAATTAATTTATCAGTTATTGTTGAATATTGTAAATTTGTAAAAAGTTTTTTAATGAATATTGACAAAAGTTGTTCTTCATCGGCAATACCTAAATAAGAGCACAAAAAAATGAATAAATTTCAATGTTTGTTTTTCATTAATTTATGAATAAAAGTCACAATACATGTTATCTTTTATTAATAATCTATTTGTAAAAATTCTCTTGAAAATTTTATCTGAATCATAAACATAAGATTTTAAGAATTTAAAAGATTCTCGCTAATTTGACTAAACTGTCGTTTTCTGTACTCATTCAAGCTAAGAACTAATATCGATCAAACATTGCCAATAAAAAAAGAAGTTTTTATTAACTGAAAAATATAGATATGTACTTGTACTCGAAATTTTATAGATACAACAATTGCATTTCTATGATAAAATCAATCCAGTTACGAAACATGAGACCATCTGCATGCTGTCACCAAAAATACTAACAGAGTATAATCCTTCGACGGTTACATAATGGCTGTACCGTCAGATGAATCTGACAAATGAAACGAGCTAAAGAAATACAAAAAAATAGTTTTATATGAATAAGTTCATATTGACATCAAAAAATGAACATAACTCTTGTCCCGTTTAAGGTATAAGTTTCTTGTTATCAAATGAAAAGTCGAAATAGATTCATATTTAACATGTTTCTTTCGTTTTATAAATTCAGCTTGCAATCG